GATAAGTAAAACTGTCAACTTTTCTCAAGTTAATGTTGTCTTAATATAAGTTAAGAATGATTTGCCTGCAGATTGCACTAGCCTACATTTGTGCTGCGGTTGATTTTTGGACTCTCTTCCTCTTTTGATTATAAATTAGTGAAAATAATAGCTGGATCAAGTGCGACTGGAGGAACAGAGTGACAGGTATCTACAGCTTATTATAAGTACCAGCTGTGTACTAGTTTCATGCAATCTTGCTGGTAAGGACGTCGCACAGGCAAGGAATTTCAAATCCGATCTTTCCAGTGCTGTAATTGTGATCACAAATGACATGAACAAGAGGTTTGTTTTTTTTTTTGTGATAAAGTCTAGGCAGAGCGCTTTACAATTTTAACTTTTTACGCTTTGACATGGGTCATCCATTTGCCTTACCATGCCATCCATTACAGCATTCACTTCCCACTCTTCTCTCTTTCTTTGAAACCTGGTGCAGCTGTTGAAGTTCCACTACTTTCTTTCATGTCTGTTGCAAGAAAGTTGGTACTAATGGGCATACGGAAGGGATATCATGTTTTTTTGTTAAAATCGAAGTCCCATTCACATTTGTTTCTTTGTGAAAGAGTGAGGTGTCCAGAAATGACCGGAGTGTTACTTTTCGTAGCACTGTGCAGCAGGCGTACCTTAAAAAAAGCTGTTGATGACGTTCTCGTTCTAGGGCTTGTTTACATAGCAATTTGAGGCCTGCTTTGATTTTTTGCTGTGCTCCATTATCATTTTGCTGGAAAACAAATCTTTGATGAACTGAATTTTCATGCATTCGAACCACCAAACTGAAATAACAGACGAGGAAATAAGGGACCAGTTTTAGTAAACATGTGCAAGAAGACCATTTGGATGCAGTCTATGTTTTATCCCTTAGTTATAAACAGAATCAAACTTACTGTGTGGGTAGAAGTGAAAATCGTCAGTGTAGCCTCCTGCCTTTTACATGAGTGATAAGCTTGCATTAAATTGAATAAGACTAGATTAGAGAGAAGACGAGTGGAAAGAAGTGATAGAGGAAAGGCGAGGGAGAGAGGACTTGTTTTTATGTGAATAGCAATGCCACTAGGTTCCGGGTCTTATTTTCCTTAGGGGAAATATAATTACTATGAAATGCCGTGTTCTTGAAGTAGAAACTGAAAACTGAACTTTCTATTCTGGTGTTTTCGAACTCTCTGCGTTTATATGAAGTTGAAAGAGAGCGTCACTCACCACTATGCTGAATGCGCAAGCAACTTATGTGTAACTGTGTGTGGAAGAAATGCCACAGTTTGTTGTAAGAAACCTCGCACCGTAAAATGGATGAACCTCTTGGGCCCATAGTTTGATAATTTTGCAGCAACATGAAGGATCGCCTCGAAGCAGTATCTGTTTACTGCGATGATAAAATATCGAAGTGTTGCAAAACGTTAAATACCAAGTGGTCGGAGGAGCAGTCCAATGAATTGAAGGAACAGATTGCGCAAATTGCCGACGCTGAGAACCGCATCCGTAAACTTATTCGTGAGTTGTAATTTTCTGTCATTCTCAAAATGTCTTTTTTCAGTCGCATTTACTGTTAACAGTTTCACGAGCTTTACAGAACTGACGTCGCTGACCGCAGATAATGTCCCCTCTCGTGGTTCATGACCAGATTCGGTGGGTTGGCCACGTAAATCTTAACATTCTTTTTGTTTTGCTGTTCCTGTAAAAATTTCTGCTCTTAGAAATTGTACAGAACCCGTCCCTTAGTTTCCAAACATTGTCATGAATTGCTTTGTAGTATCCTGTACGGTGCGAATTTTCAGTAGATTGTGTGGATTTAACTTGCGGTACTGCATTTTCGGCACTGAAGTCAAATCGTTCCTTCCAGATTTTGGCAGTTTGATAGTGACTTTGATCCCTCGTATTTGCTTTAATACTGTGATCGATTCACTGAAACGAGTCTTCGCATTAGCAGTTTAGGCTGACTCTCTCTCCATTATTGTTGGGTCCAAGGCCATATCCCTGTTAAACAGGTTACTTGTGATCTTGGTACTTACTCGAGCTTTTGTCGTCCTTCTAAAAAAGAGTGCTATATGTGCTGCGTTTTCGCAAATGCTTTAACTGGCTTAGAATGCTTACAGTTAAATTAGTGGTTTTCTTTTTTACTGGTCTAGTATTTCACATAGAGGCCGGATGTAGGAAGTTTGCGCTGGATTGAGGTGAGCTTGTTTTTCTGTGGATCCTTCGTCGTACACAACATCTGTTTGATTAGGTTATGTTTCTCGTAAAATCATATTGCTAAGTAAGAACACATCTTAATCTCTTAATCTGCTGAGCTGTGACTCTCCGATTTGCCCATTTTTGAGAACAAAAATTGGCCAACGCACGGGCTGCCCGTGCGAAGATGCGTTTTTTGCATAGTTCCTCGCAGATTTTGTTGCTACCGGCACCGGCTTTTTCGGCAAATGCTTCTAGCTAAACAAATTAAGACAGGCCGCCAGAACTGTCATAAAACACCCCCCTGAAATTCCAGCTTTCCAGCTTCCCTGGCTCCTGAGTTAGCAACTTACTGGAAAAAAAATTTCATGGGCCCGTA